ATTCGAATCGTTGCCCATCCGAGCGGCGCCACTGGCGGAGCGTAGATTCGCGGCGCGCAGACTGGGACGGACCCGCAAGGGCAGCGCAGCGCTGCTCATCGCCGTCGCTGGCGACAGCAAAAGCATAATGATTTCCGCTGCCACGGTCACTGCGAGAAAAATAATTGCGCGTCGGGTTTGGCGCCCCCAGCACTCAGTGGCTTCGAAGGTTGCCGACGAGCAACGCCTGGGCGCGCCCGCATGCACCCCGCGGGCGCGAAGCGCATGGGAAGGACAAACTCAGGCTGGCGGGCGACGGCGTGCTGCGGCGCAGGCAGGCGTCGCTGAGCCGAACGCCGCGGACGCAGAACGTCAAACAGGCACGAGCAACTGCAAACTGCAATCGCAGTCGAGACCTGGATGCCGATGGCAACAAGAAACAAGATGCGCATAGCAAAACAAAAAACCAGCTATTGCGGGCCCTCAGCTCCTGCCCCTGAAGGAGCCTTCGCAGATAGGAGATCCCCGCGTGCGTTTTACCTCGGCAGGGCGAGGGGGGCCCATCGAGGGCCCTTCGATATGGCCCCGGCGGGGGCGATGGCACGGGCGGCCGACGCCCCCCTGTCCGAACGCGCGCGCGCCGCCTCCTGCACCCCGGTTGCCCGGCGGGCCCCTGGGGGCGGCCTCTCTGGGCGAGCCAGGGAAAGCTGCGCCGCGTTCGGGAGTTGGGCGGCTCGCGCCGCTTAGGCATGGGCCATCGCGGCGACGGGTGCCAATTTACCAACGAAGGCTCTGACGTCCGCGTTCAGACTGATCTGCTCAATTTGAACCGCGCGGGCCCCTTCTCCAGACGGCGGCATTGCTGCGACGGGTTGGCTTGGCCAGTGGCCGCGCTGGCAGCGGCGGCTCCGAGGCGCTCAGCCGCCTCGGCGAGCTGCTATCAATCAGATTCGAGCCCCCGGGCCCTCGCGACACCTCGATCGGGCACGCCTTCCGCGCCTGGTTGGGAAAGCCACTCCTCGTCGGAGATGCCATCGCAGCCCGTTGCCGCGTGCTGCTCCTTGGCAGACAGGGGCGGGGCGTCGTCGCATTCGATTCCGCCGGATCCGCCCTCCACGTCGCGATCGGCTGCGTCCTTGATGGCACGGTGGCTGTCGCCGATATGCACTATGGCCTCCTTATTGATGCTGCTGGTTCGTTCGCGAGAACCCAGCGCGCTGGCGTCGCTCTGCTTCTTCCTTGGCGGCGGGCGGAAGCGGCACCTCTGGGCATGCTCGCGGCAAGAGCATCGCGCGCAGGCGGGGCGCGACAACCCTGCCCCGCAGGAACGGGGAGGGTTCGACCCCTGCCCCTCCCGCGGGCGAAGGTGATCTCACCGCAGGTTCATCCGTCGCGATGGTGTCTGGTGAGGCGATCGCGGCAGCGGGCCCCCTCGGTTAGCCCGCGTTGCCTGGGATTTCGCCTCCAACCTAACAATGGCCCATGGGAGGGCAGACCCATGGAGGTGGATCGTAGAGTTCGGCGGAGGACTGGCCGCATTGACTATGGCGAAGTCACCCCTGGTGGCTTTGTCCAAGCCTGCGCGCTGGACCTCACAGTGCACTTTGATGGATGCGAGCACCTCAGTGATTCTGTATTGGTAGCACTCTGCATTAAAAATTCCTGCGATTCGCTAATTGGCGCTGGCCAGCGCTACGCCGGTGCCACGTGGTCCGAGGGCCACTTGCTTCGCCTCCTCGGAGTCCGGCTCAACCCGGGTGCCAACTCTCTTGTCCGCCCCTGCCGATCCGAAGGCGTTGTGCTTAGTGAAGGTCTGGTAGGCTTCTTGGGGCACATGTGACCGTCAGTGTATCACGCGATAATGTAATCACTGGGCTGAGGGCCTTTGGAGCCGTAATAACTGGCGTCGAATTGGACGCCTCCTTGGCACGATGCAGAGAAGACCGATGCAGCTGTGCCATTGCGCCCTAGGAATTTCACTACTTCTTGGACTTGTACGGTACGTAAGTGGGACGCGAACGCGGCCGTGAAGGCGCCGGTGGGGTCTTCGCCCGCCTGGATGCGTGCAGCATCCTTGTTGGCTGATTTGTGAAGTTACTTTGCCCTTGCTGTGCGGTACCTGGTCCGCTTGGATAGCGGTTACCGTTGACTGGTGCGGCACCTGAAAAAACTGGGTGCGCATCATTCCTCGAGCGCGGGCGCGACAGCGGTGGCATCCGCTTCGCGAATGGCCGCGCGGATTCACACGAACGACGTCATCGGCAGTGTCGAGTTTGCTGTGCACGACTTTCCGGCGACATCCGTCCGGGTTGGTAGATGGTACCTTGGATGCGACTTGGCGTGGGTTTGGTAGCCTTCGCCGTGCGCTCAAATACTGGGATCAATCTTCTCTTCCGGGGTAGTCCGTGTTGAGGGCCCCCACATTGCAAGGGCTAGACGTTTGTCCTGAATGCGGATATGTTGAAGCAGCCGGTCGCCTTCCTCTAGCGGGCGGAGCGAGATACTGCACACTCCGTCCCTGTTCGTAACAGGCACGCCATACGTAGTTTTGCTCATCAAGGCTGATGAGAAGGGGTGTGCCATTGTCCTGGTGGGATTCGGTTTCGACCGTGGCCCCCGCTTCTACGGTGTCACAGTCTGTGGCCTTTTTCTTCTGCATGAGGGAACGATGCAGCATGGCGCAGCTGATGTTATCACCCCCGCACTGTCTCATCGCCCTGGAGCTTTCGCTGGTCGGAGCGGTGTTGCTGGTAAGTGATATCGAAATCAATGCAGTGCTGGTGAACGAGATCGTTGTTTGCAGCGACGGTTCGGTCGACGCCGCCGCTTTGGAGTGCAGCGACGCAGACTTCCTTTCGAACCAGGTTGCTCTCAGGTAAGGGAGTCATTTGGCAGCCCTTGCCTAGTGGCTTGGGCTGTCTTGGTGCAGAAAGCGCACGGCGAGAGGGCCTTTCGGAGTCATGGCTCGCGCGGATACTGAAGGGGGGTCAAAAGGAAACGTATCAGTACAGCGCTGTGTGGCGCGGCTCCAGCATTCCAAGGGGGAAACGAATGCGGAGGGTGCGTGTCACGCCTCGCCCTGCGCACAACTGCTCTAGAGAGAGGGGAAAAGGAGGAGAGGGGGAAGGGAGAGAGGAAAGGAGAGAACGAGCGATAGGAAGAGAGAACGAGAGAGAGAGAGAGAACAAACAAAAAGGGAGGGAGGGGGGAGGAAGGAGGGGGAGCGGGGTAGGTCTATGGCGGGAGGAGAAACCCCGCGACCAAACTGATAGGTATGATAGCACACGAGCTGGCGCAGTTGCAACAACAAACGGGTGGAATCTGAGCGACAAACACTTCGAGGGAACACGACCTTTCGTCACGCGATGCGTGGGAAAACATGAAGGCGCTTCGTGGCGCTCAAGACTGATCTGGCGGGGAAACGAGCGACGACGGGCGCATTTCATGTTCATAGCGCTCAACACCCCTCCCCCATCCCGCACTCGTCGTCACCTTCTCCCCGCCACCTCACACTTTGCACTCGCAAAGCATGTTCTCAGCACTCTCGTACGAGACGGCTCCCAAATTCCAGGGCACACGTCTAACCGAGTGAGCATTCTCGCGTTCGCATGCAAACTGGCAGGTGCGAGAACAGGCCTAGTTGGGGGAGCGGCAATCCCAGCTCCGCGCGGGCCTTCTCCGCCGAGAGGGCCTGGACCGAAGGAGGCGAGGGTGACGAGGAGGAGCAGGAAAAGCAGGACGCGTGCCTTCTGGCAGCGCCGTGCGCGCAGCGGGGGACCGTCGCGGCGAAGGCAGCCACCGCGATGCCGCAGCTGCTCTCCCGTGCGGGGCCAGAGGTACGCCGTGACAAGTCCGCATAAAGCCGAGGAGGGGGGGGGGCGGAAAGCCGGAATGAGATGACAGCAGCGCAAGGGTTCAGGGTGGCAGAAGGTCCGCCGCCGTGCCTTCAGCACGGAGTGGAGTGCCCCGAGGCTCATGCAGTTCTGAGGGGTGGATGAGGAGGGCTTGCAGAGTTGCGAGGGGCCTGGGCCACAGATTCATGGAATTCCTGGGCGCTGCTGGGCGCTGCTGGGCGCTTCGGGGATGACCCTCGTGGGCCTCTGGGACGGTGCCCTCGCCCAGGGGGGCCCCAGAACGAGCCAGCAAAGCCTCGGGAGGCCGCCCGGACAGTCCAAGAGGGCCCAGACTGGCCGAAAGATCGCTCAAAGACGCCCGAGATGGTATCCGGACGGCCCACGACGCCTCCAAGACGCCTTAAGAGGCTTCCAAGAGCACTCCCAGGAGGGCCCAAAGAGGTTAGATTAATGGATAAATGTCATAAGGTGCTTGAAAGATGTTTGCGTTTCTGCATCTTCGGCTTCCCAAGCTCCAAGACGGCCCAAGAGTGGTCCCACAGATCGCCCCACGACGGCCTAAGAGGCCGCAAAGAGGGCGCCAACATGGCACAACAAGCCTCCAAGACGGCCCGATAGACTTCCAAGAGGGCCCCAAGAACGCCCCTAGAGGGGCCCCAGAGAAGAAATACGAACCAATATTTCGAGCTCGCCGTCCCAAGAGGCCCCTGGGAGGCCCCAAGAGGGCCCCAAGAATCACCCGAGAGACCCTGAGAAGCCCCCAGAAGGCCCCAAGGAAGCCCCAAGAGGCTCCCAAGGAGCTCCCACAAGGCTCCCAAGAGGTCTCAAAACTGCCCCAGAGAGGCATCCCCAAGAGCCCTCCGAAGAGACCCCAAGAAGCATCATTGAGGCCACTGTTCAACAACCCAGACACGGTGGCGGGATGGGCCGAAGGCCATTAAAGAAAGTGATAAACCTGATCGCTTGATTGATGCACATTGGCGTACTTGCTGGTTCAATGTGATGCGCATTCTGCAGGGCGCTCGACTCCTATCGCCAACGTGTAGCGAAGATGACAGAAGAAGGGGATACGATACGGTACGATCCACACAGGAAAACTACCATCGCTTCGAGTCTACCCTGGCTCGCCGTCGCAACCTATGAGAAGGAAGAGGAGAAGGAAGTAAGGGAGGAAGGAAGAGGAGGAGGTATCAGTCGCTCAAGCTGGTCATCCTGCAAGGCTGCGGGATGGTCAGCATGCGTGGCGCGTCAGGTAGCGACAGCTGGTGGGGGTCCAACGGATTGACACCCCCGTCTTCGCTGGCGTCGGAGATCACCGTGCACGGGCTTTGAGGCTCAGGGGCTGCAGCAGAGGCACCACAATCGGCAGATGCACGATCGCTCGCGAAAGCCAGCCCACGGCGATCCTTCAGGCGCTGCCCAATCTCTGGGTGCATGTCCCGCAGAGTCTGGTGCAGCTCGTCCTGCCTCTTCAGGCACATGTGAAGGTCCAGGCTCCTCGCCGCCCCTTTCAGCTTCGACACCCCGTCGATCAGCTCCTTGACGCTCACGTCGCCAGTCTTGTCAACATCCATGAAATCGTACAGTGCTTCCCCGTCTGAAGCGTCGAGTCCCATGGACGACAGCCACGTCTTGACCTCATCGTTCTGCGTCAGTTCCAGAAACTCTTCCTTGTCCAGCTTCCCATCGCCAGACGTGTCCCCAGCTTCGAAAAGCTTCTGCATCTTGATGTTGTGGGTTCGCGTCGACGACTCCTTCTGCCCCCCCTGCCCCCCTGCCAGGTTCCCGAAGACCTCCAAGCCGTGACCATCTGGACCCAGGCCTTTGCTTCAACCCTCCTTCTCTGTGCCCTCCCCCCCCCCCCTTCCCCCTCCTACCTTGCCCCCCCCCCCCCCCCCCCCGCACACCCCCCAATCTCCCCGTCCCCCCCCCCTGGCCTCCACCTCCGTCCCTCCTTCCCCCTCGTCCCCCCAATGCCTCCCAGGTCTATCGCCAGCGAGATCTCGGAGGAGAGCCAGTTGGGTCTCGAAAGGCAGGGGATGTTTTGCGCTCCTGTCGGAGCGCTCCTCATCTTGGTCGCCATCACCAAGCCAAGGTCGTTACACCAAACACCCGCGGTCCCCCCAACAGGCGGTCCCGATCCCTTCGGGTACCTCGTCATCGATCTACGCCCGTGCCCTCCCTCCCACCGTTCCCCCCCCCCCATGCCCTCCCCGTCCTTCTGGTGCATCATGATGTAGTCGTCCTCAGCAGCAGTCCTGAATGTCTCCTGGATGAAGACGCCATTGATGATTCCGATGACGGACAAAAAGGTAAGAACAACACGCTGACTAATGACGTAGATGCTCGATTGAACTATCACGAACTTAGCCAGGCAAGATGATGTATCAGCGTCGTCGCCAACCTGCTGCTCATCATTAAGTTCGTGGTAGTTCAATCGAGCATCCACGTCATTAGTCAGCGTGCTATCTTACATCATTTATCCCGATGACGGCGAAGCCAACCGTGAGCTTGTGGAGCAGACAGACCACCATGAACCACTCACTCACGTTCTCCATCAGCAATCGGCAGACTGGCGGCCAGTTCGCCAGCGTCATTTCGAAGGTGCTGAGCAGCGCCCGGGAGAAGCTACCGAAATACTCGAAAATCTCATCTTGCTCCTCCAGCGGATGGTGGTCTCCGAAATAAAACTCTTCCAGGATCTGGTTGATAGAGAATGCGACCATCGCCTGGATAATGAAGAGCAGCATGCAGGACCAGGCAAGGACGTAAAAGCTACTCTGGAGCGCGGTGGTCATAAGAAAAAGCGTGTCGAAACCGTGCATCTTCCTGACCACACGCACCAAGCGCAGCAAGCGGGCCAGCCTGGCCAGTCGGAGGGCGGTCGTTTCTCCCAGTCCCCCCTGTACCACTGCCGACGACTCGACGAGGAAGCAGAGAACCACGAAGAGGTCGAATAAGTTCCAGCAGGACTTGAAGAACTTGCAGCGCAGGACGACGATCTTGATGGACACCTCGAATGTGAAGGCGACACCGAAGAATATGCCGAGCGCCTCCCAGAGATGCTCCGCACCCTGCCAAGGATTTGGGTTATGGGCATAGTCGCGGTATTTCAGGGCATGCCCGCGAATGAGCCCTGAATGTTGCACCTCAAAGGCCATCTGCAGGCCATTCAACATGATAAGTATGGCCATGAAAGTTTCAAAGAAAGCGCCTTCGACGAAGTCAACCCACCGATGCTGAACGTCACGGGCTTTGCCGTTGAAGAGCAAAGTGTTAACTCGGTTCTGCACGCTCTGTGTGCCCACTGAATGTGTGGGTAACCGAATGTCTTGCTCGAGAGCATCCACAGTGAACGTGGCATCTGGGCCATCTTTCTTGCCCCTGTCGTCAGCAGTGGAGACGCCGCGGTCAGTGGCGAACTGCTGCAGCACTACCACCTCAGCTGCCCCGATACGCAGCAAGCAACCCGTGGCATGCTGACACCGAGCTCAGCACGTAGACTGAAAACTCAGGTCTGGCGCGATGCGTTCGCCGAAACGTGGCCCACACGCAGCGTGCTGACACGGGCGTTCTGAACACGGCACGCGTTGCGATCCAAGACGGGCGCATCGGGGCAGCTGAGACCACCACGGACTGACTCGTAGGGTGCGGCGTGCAAGTGGTCGTGGTGTGGCTCGCCCAGCCATCAGCCTTGCCCTGTGACGGCACGCCAGGGAAGCAGTCGGGGCCGCCGCGCTCCTGCTGTGCCTGGCACCGCTGCCGCAGCTGCGCGGTCAGCACCCCGTGCCGCCTGCCCAGCTCCTCGCGGGAGGACGCCAGCTGTGAAGCCACACCAACACAGGCCAGGCCCGCCCTGGGCCCGGGATACATGTTGCTCTCCACCATCATGTGGTGTTGGGTCCTCGTTTCGAAGAGGCAGCGCCCCGCATCTCCTTCCCAAAGGCCCGCGAGGCACCGTCCACATGTGGGCGTCACGCCCGTTTCGGCACACCCCTCGCATGCTGCGCGGCCCCATAGGGAACTTCACCGAAGACCTTAGTGACAGGAACCAGATACGTCCCCAGGCCCGTGCTGGCACAACCTTCACACGTTCGTGACCTCACCGACCTCCCCCTCCTTCGTCCCCTGCCGCACGGTTCTCACACCTGCACATATTTGGGCCACTCGCCAGGATTGTTTGCCGCGCATATTTTGGGAGGAAAACGAGGAAAGCTGAGGGGACACGAAGTGGCCAGCATCTCCCACTCGCACTGTCATCAAAAGACGTGCACCAAGGCCAGAACAAGGAGGAGGAAGACGAGGACGAGGATGGCCTGGGCCCATGATACCTGACACGCCCTGCATGCTTGGCCAGGGAGTCATACACACCGATCCCGAGCCCAGGACCGGTGTAGGTGTACGGTTTGCGGGCCCCCGTCCTCGTCCAGCGCGGCGCGGCTCTCCCAGTGGCTCCTCTCCAGGGCGGAGCGGAGGGCCTGCCTCTCCTCGACGAGCGCCTGCGCAAGCCACCTGGAGAGCTCCTCCGCAGCGGCGTCCCCCACCTCGCCGTTCTGCGCGCGGCACACCTCGTTGGAAGGCATTGACCACCCCGACCTCGCGCTCAGCGCACGGTCGGCAGCTCGAGCGGCCATGTGGGCGCCCCTCGCGACCTCCAGCACAGATGCGCCGAGATGGCTCCGGCCAAGGTCACGGCGGGCTGCACGAGAAACAGGTGGGCGAGGAGGGGGGGGGGAAGGCCAGGGCAAGTCTAAGATGCATTCACGGTGCTGCAATACACCCTCCCGACTCAAAGCCCACAGCCATCCGCGTGATGACTAGCGCCCAGTGGGCTTGTGACTCAGGCAAGCCCCGATTTGTCGAAGGTTCCCTCCCGTGTCCTTCTGGCGAACGCGAACGTGGAGAGGTATCATGATAAAGGCCAAGGAGGTATCCAACGATAGCCCCGCTGTGGAAGGAAAAAGCGTGTCATCCATCCACGCGTTGCGTAATTCGTAAAAGCTCAAACCATACAATATCAGCCAGCGTTGACTCAAAATAGATAGTGGGTGATGATGGTGATGATGACGATGATGATGACGATGAGGACGATCCTGTCTTCTTCACGCGCACACTCCAGTCCACTGTACTGAAGCGTGGTGCGGCTGAGCGTGGTGCGGCTGAGCGTGGTGCGGCTGAGCGTGTCCACGTCGCCCGTCGCCGGATCTCTCAAAGAAGACTCTCCGCCCAAAAAAAAACTGAGGAGATCGGAGAAATGACAGTGACGAGCGATAATGAGGACGACGAAGAGAAAGGAAGGAAGGGATTATATAATGAACAGGAAGGGAACGACGAGAACGAACACGGGGACAGCAATATGCTATGTTTCTGTATGTATCGCTTTGCCGGTGGTGTCTTTATTTATGTTTCTGTTCTCCCTCTCGCTCTCTCTCGCTCTCTCTGACTCTCTCCCTCTTTCGACCTACGCGCCAGGGCAGGGATGAACAGGCCACGACCAACCGACAGCCCGAGAGCTGGCATGCAAGTGTGGACGACGCGCCGAAGGAGAAGGGAGTATCCGAACAGCAGCAGAGCAGCCAGAGGGCAGCTGGCGGCCTCTGCGAGTCGGAGGCTGACAACCCTCATTGATGGGGCAGTCCGCCGCTGCCAAGCGGCGGCGGGCCCACAGGTGAACGTGCAGCTTGGCATCTGGGTGCACCCCGACCCGAAGCCCGTCATGATGAACGAGGACGGCAGCAGACCTCTGCGGACCCATCTGCTAGAGAAGGCGGGTATCAACCACGCTCGACGCAGCCTAATGCATTCATCGACCATCGGACAGGTTCTCTGGCTTCCTGATCGCGGGGGGTGCCGAGCCGTGTTTCTTCGAATTCTGCCGGCTAGCGATCGGCCACGACAATCCTGGAGAACGGGAAGACAACGCGTGCTTGATGGTGACAGCATCCATCTTGGCACGGCTGATTCAATTTCGCGGCGTGCTCATTGACGATCGCAAGACGCGAACGAGGCATGGAGCCGAAGGGGGTGAATCGGCCAACCAGCGTGACACAGGAAGGTGTTGCTTGCATCGCCCACCGGTGGTGCGGCTATCTTCGGGTGGAATGGACTGCGATGCCGACTGTACGCCAGAGTTCTCTTCAAATCTTGGGCTGGTCTCAGATATTCGG